TGAAATCCCCATTCGTGATTGTCAAGTGGACAAAGTCAAGGACGACATGGTGGTCTTAGGTACCAACGTGCTACCAATGTTGGGATATCAGTTAAGTCGACACATGTCGTATCCTCATGAGGCCAAGGAATTACGGGGAGAAGATTCGCAATCCCATACCAATACCGTAGGACAACACACATCGATGCCGAAGACGGCGAAGATCCCGCAACGTGGACACTGGGCCAAGAGTCATGACTTGGGCGAAACTATCTGGGTGCAGTAAAGAAAAAGGCTGATTGTTGGATTCCACTATGCGTATGATTCATAGTGGAATGTGTCATGCAGAAGAGGTAGTCTTGTAGCAGCACCAGTGATAAATATTTCGTCTAAACCTATGGTTTTGCGAAAGGGAGAGCAGGTTGGGCTAAGGAAAGAACACAAAGCTGGCTGGATAGAAGCTAGTGTTAAGGATATAGCAACAGACATGCTCACTCTGAAAACCATTAAGTTGTCAGGTCGACAGATTGAGACAACTGCGGCAGTTTCTCGAAGAAAATCGAAGAGATAGGATGTCGTCCCCAGGCCTGTGGAGTCTGATAAAAGACAACCACTCTGTGTTCCGCCGTGAAGGATAAGGAACTTACGCAAACGTCATTACTGAAACACGAGATCAAAACCAGAGACAGGGCACCGATTCGCCAACGAACTCTTCACGAAAGCTCTGAACGAAAGGAATGAAGGACATCGTGTCCCTCGAGCGAGGAGGGTCCACTGGACCACTCTTGCACGCGACAGGGACGAATGGAGACGTTGCTGGCGCCCGCTCGAGCAATTCGATGATCAACGGGACGACAGGTGATACAGGTGATGAACTTCGTGAAACCTCAGATTGATACCATGATAAGGGAATGCATATGCTATGAATTAACAGCAAAAGTGAACCTCATTTATCCAGGGCGCTAACAATAAGGGCATTAGGGTGAGTAGTTTTGCCCTCCCCTCATCTTTTCTCTCCAACTCCTTCCCTTCTGATGCACTAAGGAATTTAAAAGGTCTCCCTTCCACCCACCATCACTACTCCACACGCAATATCCAACCTTCCCCACTTGGTACGCTGTTGTATTATATACTCTTACGATTAATGTATCGATAGTATTGTAATGTAGTCAAGGCTAGAAGAAGGCTTTAAACGCCGAGAGCTCGTAAATAAAGAAGCGAGAACGAAAACTGGAGCTCCCACCATCACAAATCAATAGAAACCCTTTTTGTTTTTTTTTGAGGCCGCAAAGAAATCCTTGCTTCTCAGACATAGTTCATAACGTTCTAAACACTTTGTGCTGTTAATTTCCTTTCGAACCTTTACTTACTTCTTCTGACATCTGTCACGTGGGAAGCAACTGGCTTGGGAAGTATTCACGCTCAACGTTCAGCAGTTATTCGACCACTTTCTTTCATCTATCCGAAGAGATAGTGTGAACATGCACATTCTAGCTTTCCACGCATTTCATTCGAATCGCACGACTCTCCTCTCTTCCCATCCAGGGTCAACCCTACGTTGTTACGAGTAACAACGGGGGGGTCGTACTCAGTTGAGCTTGGAGGGGGGGGGTCGTACCCTCTCGGTGGCCGACAGTGGGATTCTTGGTAATATCGGATAATAGCCAGCACGTTACGTTTTCGTAAGATGACTGATACTAGAGCATCTATAAACCACGCTTCCCTCTAAATGAGCTTTCAAATGAATCAGCGAATAGGGATGTAGTGCAAGCGCATGCTCGGAGCTTTCTAGCACATCCTAAATTAAACATGAAATTGGTCTTCCAAGAAGTTACGGGCAGTGAAACCTAAGAAAAAACTCGCGTTTTCGAGAAAATGGCTTGAAGAATACCCCTCAAAAAAAAAGTAACAACGGGACTAATTTTTGAACTGCTGATCTTTCAGGAACGCTTGGGTGCTCGTTAGAAAGCTTGAATCCTGTAGTTTATTATACCGTGTTCAGCTTCCCAAATGAATGACTTTGAAGGAAGTTATGATCGTTTGAAGGTAAAAAAGTCGCGGTTCCAAAAAAATAGTAACGCAAACCCCCAAAAAAGTAACAACGGGACTAATTTTTGAACTACTGATCTTTCAGGAACGCTTGGGTGCTCGTTAGAAAGCTTGAATCCTGTAGTTTATTATACGTGTTCAGCTTCCCAAATGAATGACTTTGAAGGAAGTTATGATCGTTTGAAGGTCAAAAAGTCGCTTTGCACAGAAAAAAGTAACAACGTACTAAATTTTTATTAAATTAACTTTCGAAGAATTTTTACCCATGGTTGGAGAGAGAATAATTTGAATTTTCCAAATCAAATCACTTCGGCGCAGAAGCTCGAATATGAAGGAAGTTATAGCCCTAGAAAGAGGAGTGTAAAAATTGTGTTTCAATTTTATTTTTTGCCTAATAACTTATTCATTCCGAAGTGTTTGAGAACAAATAAGCACTCGTTTCAAATAAGCACAAGCAGGCTCCATCCCCCAGACTCATGGATTCCTTATTCTCCAATTGATGTAATCATTAGTATTTCGCTGAGAGGGTAGAGACAAGCAGCGCGCGTCTTTGCCGGAAGCCCCCCCCTCAATTAGCGTTGTACCCTTGTTTTGCCACTTTTCAGTTTTGAGCTTCCGAAAAACGCACCTCGTGGGACAAGCTGACGCGCTTGCGCGTCAGACAAATCACGCTCGCCACATTTCCCATGTGGGAGACGGTCAAGAGTCCCCCTCGACCGCCGCGCCAAAACTAGGTCACCGCGCGCGACGTCGCCGGCGTTTCTGCAGTTTGAAACATGGCAATTGGCCAAGTTTAGGACCCGCCTCTCTAGACGATCGATACAACACTTTTTTGTTCCGTCTGTGTAGTCCCCATTTCTGCATTTGTTTTTGCTTAGTCCTAGCAAATTGCCACGTTCCAACCAAGGACCAGTAGCCGCGTGCGGTGACCTACTTTCGCTTGCGCGGCGACCTCAGGGGTACTCTTGTCTAGCACCCTCCCATGTCCCATGCGGCGGAAAAAGCCAAAACCTGCGCTGTCGTCAATGTGTTATGCTTTACCACAAAGTAATTTGACCATAAGTATCTCCAGCGTAACATAATAGTTTGAGTCAATTGCTGTTTGGCTAATTTTCATCTACCGGAGATCCCATTTTTACAAATACGTGATTGAGTCAATCCACAAAGAATATCGGAGAGATACAAAATATTTCATAGAATGGGCAAATCTTTTTGAATCTTGTATAGTAGTTTGTGTCGTTGGTGAGTCGCTAGATTCGCAAAGCCTGACAGAGGCTGAACATGGAAATTTTTGGGAAACAATCTCATTAAAAAACGACAGTGCCCATCGGACAATCTAATAACAGGATTGGCTATGCATAGCAACGTTCGTGATCCGTCCTGAAATAAGGTGATATGGTGAATCGGCGATCATGGAGAGGAAGTGAGCGGGCTTCATTCGACCAATGTGCACCTAATCCTTTGAGCATATTAGCCGCAAATCGCTTTATCGAATGATCTCCGAATTTTCAAATGCGCATGTTTCCCTATCAGCATTACTGCCCCACAATCTGGGAACGAATCCTCGAGTCACACCTCGCCGAATAAAACTGTTTAGGGTTACGGTGGTGGACTGGAGTACGCAAACACACGCAGCCTATTGGTGTACGTCCAAGGGCAGCGGTCAACCGAAAGGCTTGGTGATTCAGCGTTTTGTAGTGTTCTCTGGGCACTCTCGCATATGCACACTATTACAGCGTCTCTGCTTTCTTTCCTTCCTTCAAAAGGCTTAGTCCTAGAAAAGCGGAAAGTATGTGCTTTTCTGTCTGGATGTAGGTCTCACGGACATCTGTCAACCGCAAGCTTGGCGGTTCAGCGTTTTGTAGTGATGTCTGGGAGCTCTCACAAGTGCACACTATCACAGCATCTCCTCTTTCTTTATCTTCTTCAAAAGGCTTAGTCCCAATAAGACACAAAGTGTGTGCTTTTCCAGCTACGCTCTCACCCTTTGGTTGACAGAAGCCTTGTAACCATTGATGTATATACGTATGGAATTATGTATACTTGGTTGACCTTGTACATTTCACTCAAATCCTTGTACTTATCTAGGTCTAGGTACTAATCTAAATCTTTCACACTCGATTTTTTCCAGGAGCTGTTTAGACCATGGTCGTAATAGCCAAACTCGCGATTCTTCATGGAATAGACATGTATGTACATACATATTGAGCATGGCATGGTCGTTATGTTCCCCTTTACATTCGAACTATCAAAAAACTGTTGAAGCTCAGATTTAGTGGTTCTCCCCACTCGAAGCTACTTCACTGCTCCCTGGGCTCACAAAGGAAGGATTTCAGGTCGCCATGGTCGTTCAAGGAAAGATGAATTTGCCTAGATGTCATTAAACTCTGATTTCATATCTACCTTCATATCTGCAAAACAATTTTCTGAACGGAGTTATGGCAAGACAGCTCAACGGTAGTGGTCGTGGTTCACAGTCAAGATGTTTTAGAGCTTTGTGGTGTTCGGCCTCAAGCAGCCTACTTGGCTGTATTCTTAAAGAAGGTAAAACAGTAATCACGATAAGGGGTCCGATCCTACGACGTTTTGACTGTGAGTCCCGACCACTACCGTTGCGCTGTTTTGCTTCATAACTCCGTTCAGAGAATCGTTTAGCAGATTTGGAAGGTAGATTTGAGATCAGCGTTCGAAGGCACATCTGGCGTATACATCTCTTCTTAATGGCCATGGCAACCTGGGATCCTTTCCTTGTCAGGCCAAAATTCTCATTTATGAGTTGCCTCAGATGCTTTTCGTCAAAGTGCACCATTTTATTGGAATAGAGCTTCTCACATACATAATACTTAGTCGCTGATTTCTCCCGCGAGAAGCTTCAGCGTCCCGTCGTCGTCTGTCTCTCGTTTTTTTTTCGTAAATATTACCATGTCGATAGTATTATATGCTTCGTTCAAGCATTTTTGAAGGTTTCCTTAATGCCTCCTAAGAGGGAACACAAGAAGGACGCTGATTCACTAACTGGTGTCATTGTTGTGGATTCGTACGATCCGCGATTCGCTCCATTTTCAAAAAATGGGAAGCCATGGGCGAAGTGATTTGCTGTGATACATTTGTCGTCAGAGCGCGTGTCATACTGGCCGATGTCAGACTTTGCGATTGGAGCGATTTTGCACCAATTGCAGGAGCGACGGATCGCTTGAGCGATGCGAGCGACGGGAGATTTACCCCGCCGACCACCGTAATTCGGCGCCGCGTTCGTAAATCTCCCGTCGCTCGCATCGCTTGAAGCGATCCGTCGCTCCTGCAATTGGTGCAAAATCGCTCCAATCGCAAAGTCTGACATCGGCCACTGGCCGATGTCAGACTATAGCGGACATGGTGAACCGCATCGATCCACATCGCAGGTGTTGACAATCGCGCAAATCAGATGGCGATGCTCACATCGGGATGTGAGTTCCCTAGGACAGGGGACATAGTCGGTCGTCCGATAGCAACGATCGCAACTGTCTGACTGTCTAACTGCATCTAATCGTCGAATACTCAGGCAAGTCCGACGATCGATACGCATCCAATGCTGTGCGACTGTTGCGATTGTTGCTGTCGTCCGACCGACTATGCGTGTGCCCAGAGCGATTTGTTCGCGTCTCGCAGCGCGGAATATTTTTCGCTGCAGGAACCTCAGGTCTACCGCTGATCATCAATGGCCTCAAGGTTCCCGCAGCGAGAAACGTTTCGTGGTGATTCGAGTCGATTGTTCGACACGTCCGACGATCGATGCTTATCTAATGCTGTGCGATCGTTACGATCGGACAGCCGACTATGGAAGCGCCTTTTTTGAGCTTTTATGATCTTCTCTACTGTTTACAAAATAATCACATTTATCTACTGATGTTTTATCAAGTTAGATTATTTGTTTGTTAGTTATCACACCATGAAATTTGTTTTCCATTTCCATTCCCGTTTTTTTATTGAGAGACATTTGCAGTGCCTATTTCCGGTTTGCAATGTGCCCATCATTAATTTTACCTTGGCTTGGATCGCTCGCACTGAGGTTCAGAAAGTGTTGTTGGTTGTTTCTGAGAATAATGTTCATTCAGTGGAGAACGTGGAAAGGTAGGCCTTTGTACTTACTGTCATCTGTAATATTTGTTGAAGAACGCGCATACCAATACTGGTGTCCGTATGCTATCCTTCCCCGAAGCTAGGTGACCCAAAGTTTCCTTTAAATTTATTTGCTTTGAACGATGTAGTTTCTTCATTTTCAGTGCATGTTTACTTTACCTACATACATACATTTAATGTAGGCCTTTATCAGGGCAATCCCAGTTGGGAAGACAGAGAAAATTTAAAGGAATTTTCGTCCCTAACCCCTTCGGGGAGGATAGCATACGGTCCCTGGCAAGATCAACTTGTAGGAAAGGGGATGTCAGTGGTAATCTTACAAGATTGCAGCCCACTTATGCTCCACCTTCTTTCTTACAAATTCGAGAAGTGATGAGGCTTTGAAATAGTGTAAATCGGAAGATCTCGCCTATTTTAAAGCTATCAGCTGCTGACCTCATGGTGGTGTAAGTGTTCAAAGCAGTATGGAACTTTTTTGATCAGTAGTGGACCTGGCGTTCGCAGCGAAGAAACTTTCAGCCTGCGAAAAAGCGGAAAAGTCACTTTGTCCTAGGAAGGACACCGCGGGGTGAGTCAGTGTCATGGTGAAAAGCTGGAATATGCGATGTACGATACCTCGCTGAGAGGGCGCAGACATGCCGCTTGCAGTATCGGTGACTTTTTTTTGAGCGGCCCTGGGCTTGAAAAAGGCAGCAAACTTTCCTTGGAAAGCGAAGATTTCCTGTTCTCAAGAACTCTACAGCACTTGTAGCGTTGGATGGCTACATTT